GTATGTTGCACTGGAGTGACCCTTTTCCTCACCAAACCTCAACCCGGATATTCTTTCTGAACAGTCGCGGCTCCTTCGACTGCTGCACCGTGATGAGACCTACGAATCCTAGCGTGATTCTAATAGTGCAAGGGTGCATAGTCGACCGTGCTATGTTACCCTAAGTTTCGCAACAGATACGCTAGTTTTCACCACTCTGCTCGTAATTTTACCCCGCAACGGTACGACGAAGACGGTCTGTGATAAGACGGAGTCAATCGACTTATGGCATCTTTGGCCACACCTCAGCATGGCTAGTCTCAGAGATAATATTAAATCAGAAATCGTTCACAATACTCTCGCATACGCTCAAATCCTTCGCAATTTTCCAAGTGCTCACCCCCTTATGCAAAAGCGTGGGTCCAGGAAGGATGCAAGAAGTTCCCTGTAAAGGTTTGCACTAACCTCGTAGATAACATGCCTAGGAGGGTGCAAGTGGTGAGCAGGGCCACGTGTTGGTGGACTAGGTACTAGAAACGCTGCATGGAAGTTTGCCCTTTGTCCTGGGAAATAATTGTCAGGATGTACTCTTCGTATATCTTTTGGCACTAAGTTAGATCCAGTGTACTATCATGGACTTTTGTGCTGTGAACACATCCATTATGTGGCCCTCCCAAAGCGTACCACCATTAAACGTTAAGACTTTATGTACAGTGTTCGAAAAGCCCAAAAACCCTAATTAATGCAAAACATCCGGGCAATTGTTTCCGTCACTGTAAGACAAGACTGTGCTGGGATATGTGACCCAGAAGCGGGAGTTCGGGGTGACCAAAGCGGTAATGCCACAGCAGTGATAGGTGGGTGAGCAACCGACAGGAGCAAGCCGCAGCAACCTGGGTAGACACAGGCACTTAAGGGGACGCCCCTACCAGGGGGGACGCGGTGTGAAGTGTAAACAGGCCAGACACCGGGTCCCGGGGGAATGTGGTGAGTGGGGCACCAATGGCGGCCTCGGTACGGACCGCTTAGCGCTCATGTTCGGAGAACATAGTGGTGACGCCGTGGTTCTAAAGACATGCGACACCAACTAGGTTCATGGAGAACAAGGGGATGTGCAGACCTATAAGAGAGCTCGAGGGAACCGCAGGACAGGAAAGGGTAATGGAGCTACGTGCAACTACAGGACCTATGGAGGGGTCAGCAAGCGCTATAGTGGAAGGGGCGGCAAACAGCGTGAGCACAGTGTGGTCGCAAAAGAATCAAGCTGACGCACCCGAGTCTAGCGTGAAAGAGAGCGTGGGGTGGCGCCCGAAGGCAAAGGAGCTAGAGTGGAGCCGAGGCTAAACAAGGTAGGTGGTCCTATGCGTAACGCAGCAAGGGAACCTAGGCTACACACAGTGGACACACCTATACTAGGCAATGCACGGTAATAGGGCCCAGTCACACTAGATTCATCAACATACAGTGACGGAAACAATTGTCGGTATGTTTTGCATAAATTTGGATTTTTAGGCTTTAAGACCACTATACATTAAGCCCTAATGTTTAATGGTGGTACGATTTGGGAAGGGCACATAGTGGATGTGTTCATAGCACAAATATCCAAAATAGTACATTGGATCTAACTCATATCCCAAAAGATAAACAAAGGGTACATCAGGACAAATATTTCCAAGCAGTGAGAGCAAACTTCAGATTTGCGTTTCTGGTACATAGCCCACCGAACTTTGGCCTTGATCACCACCCGCACCCTCCTAGGCATGTTACCTACAAGGTTAGTACAAACCTCGGCATGGAACTTCTTGCACTCTTCTGGGACCCACCATTTTGCATAAGGGGGTGAGCGCTAGGAAAATCGCGAAAAATTGGGCGTAGGCAAGAGTATTGTGGACGATTTTGGATTGAATGGTATCTTTGAGACTAGCCATGCTAAGGTGTGGAAAAAGATGCAATTAGCCGTCAGGGCCCATCTTATCACGTAACGTCTTCGTCGTACCATTGTAGGATAAAATCCTGAACAGAGCGGCCAAATCTAGCATAGACACCACGAAACGGAGGGTAAATTTGCACGGTTGGCTATGCACCCTTCCACCATAAAAACACACTAGGGTCCGTGGGTCTAGTTACGGTGCAGTCATAGAAGCCATGACTGTTCTGGAAAAATATAAGGGGCCGGCTGCAATTTGTGGAGTCGCATGCTGAGTGGAGCATTAGTGTTCGAAAGCATGTAATCTGGTCAAATGGGACCAACATCAATTGCTTCAGCTCCAATGGCCGCGCGTTTGCCTGGATTCGTGAAGGCACAACCCTGCAGCTCCACCAAATCAAACAGACGGTAAACCATGGGGACAAGGATCGGTGATGGCGTGGGGATGTGTGACATGTGCGGGGGTGGGGTTCATACGCAAGATTGGCGGACGCATGGAGAGGCCCCTGTACGAGGGCATTTTGCATGACGAACTCGAATTGACCCTCCATTTCTATAGCATTTTCCCCTCTGAGGTCATCTCGATGCGGACAATGATCCCAAGAATTTGTTATTCCTAGTGCCGGAATAACTTGGAGAACATGAGTATGTAGCCTTGGAGTGGCCTTCTTTCTCATCAAACCTCAATCTCTGGGCTTACTTGAAAAGAGAGCTAGCCAAGCATAAAAGACCTTCCTCTGGAATACTAGAGCTTTAAGAGGTGGTCCAGGAAGAATGAGAGAAGATCCATGCCGAGGTTTGCGCTAGCCTCATCGACAGCTCACCTAGGAGGGTCCGGGCAGTGATCAAGGCCAAAGGTCGGTGGGCTAGGAACTAGAAACACACTATGGAAGGTTGCTCTCTCTGCTTTGAACTATTTGTCCGGATGTACCCTTTATATATCTTTTGGGATATGAGCTAGATCCAATGTACTATTCTGGATATTTGTGCTATGAACACTTCCACTATGTGCCCCTCCCAAATCGTACCACCATTAAACATTATGGCTTAGTGTATAGTGGTCTTAAAGCCTAAAAACCCAAATTTATGCAAAATTTACGGACAATTGTTCCTGTACCGTACTGAAGCTGGTACTGGCAGGTGACCACACTGGAGCCGCCACCCGACACCGAGCTGCGCGGCCCACTACCACGACGACCACCACCAATGCCTCCAGGCCACCACGGCAGTGGGGGTCCCCACGGGTGCTACTGCTGCTGCTCGGGGGCGTCAGCCCCGGTCCCCTCGTCTGCACCACTGTCCCCGCCACCACCTCCGCCACCCCCACCAACCTCGCCACCCTTCCCTCCGCCACGCCCCCCCTTGGTGCGGTGGCCCTTACCCTGACGTGGCTGCGCTGGGGCCGCGGCAGCGGTCTCAGCAACAGGGGCTGTATCAGCGACAGTAGCAGAAACGTCAGAGTAAGTGCACTAGGAGGGAGCACATCCCTAGAAGGTAGGGACTGGCGCAGCACCGCTAGACTGAGCGATAGTGCACTGGTGGGTCGCTATCGCGGACAAGGCGGTGACAAAGGCAGTAAGGGTGAGGTCACCTGGGTGCTGACTAAGGAAGTGGTCGTGGGCAGTGGCTAGCCGGTCAGGCAACGCGTGGCAATGTGGTACAAGGTAGCGCAAAGCGGCGGCGGGAAGGCAGTGAGCTGTACCTCAGTGCTAGCAGCGCAGTAGTTAGTCTCAAGAGCGCGGAGATGGGTGGCAAGGTCTGCAACAGTGGGGAAGGACGCAAGATCAGGGAATAGCATGGGGAGGACCAGACGACCGGCAGAGGTGGAGGAGGGAGTGGAATAGCGCGCAATGACCGCATCTAAGTACTCCTTCACATTTGCTACAGTTGTAAAGCGGGGACGTTCAGACAGGGGTAGGGCGTAATTAATGGCAAGTTGTGCAACTGCGTCGCAAAACTCCCAGACAGCGCAGGCAAGCTCAGCAGCGGCAAATGCATTACGCTCAGCAGACATGGGGGCGTCAGGGAGGGCAGCAGGTGCGGCGGGGCAGGGGAGCTTATCGTCGACATGGAGGGCCAAGGAGTAGCTGTCCTAGCACTGACCGATCAGCTGGTGGCGGAGGTCGACGAGCCATGCCTCAAAATCAACCGCCAGACCCTCCGCGTCCAAGCGGAGCGCAGAGTCCGCCATCACCACGGCTGCAGCAGCTGACTGCCGTTGGAGGGGGAGGAAAACGGCGAAGGGCTGTGGAGAGCGGTGGAGTGCGGTGGAGAGCAGTGAATTGCGGTGGAGAGTGGCAAAGACAGCCGGCAGGAGAGCCGGCTCAGATTCGAGCCAAGGCCGGCAGGTCGGGGCGGCAGAACGGCTCGGCGGCTCAGCGACACGGCGTCACGGCGGCACTATGGCTCGGCGGGGCGGTGGCTCGGCGGTTCGACGACGCGGGGGCGGCAAAGCTGGGGCCGGTGGAGCTAGGGCCGGGGGAGCTGGGGGTCGGAGAGCAAGGGGCCCGCAAGCTAGGGGCTGGTGAGCTAGGGGTCGGCGAGCGTGGGGCCGTCGAGCGCAGGGCCAGCGAACAAGGGGCTAGCAAGCACGAGGCTGGCGAGCACGGGGCTGGCGAGCGCGGGGCCAGTGAGCGTGGGGCTGGCTGGCGCTGGGCTATCGAGCAAGGGGCTGGCGAACTCGGGGCTGGCGAACTCGGGGCCAGCGGGCGCGGGGCTGGCGAGTGCGGGGCCAGCGAGTAGGGGCCAGCGAGCAGGGCCAGCGAGCTAGCAGGGGGCCGGCGAGCTAGGGCCAACGGGCGTGGGGCTACGGGCGGCCGGCGGCGACAGGTGGCTGGTGGCTACAGGCGGCCAGCGGCTACGGGCGGCACGAGGCGACGGGCGGCCAGCGGTGGTGAGCGGCGAATAGTTAGCAGAGGCTGCTAGCGACGGGCGGCTAGGAGCGGGCAGCTAGTGATGGGTGGCTAGCGACAGGCAGCTAGCAATGGGCGGCTAGCAACGGGCGGCTAGGGCTAGGACTAGGACTAGAGCGGAAGCGCGGGTGGGCGGGGAGGACCATGACACCATATCAGAGTAACGAATGGGCTAGAATATGAGATACAATGCGGTGAGTACGCACCTACAGCGACGGAAAGTATTGCCCGGATAAAGTCCAATTTTAGGTTCAACACATGATTTGAATGCTTTCACCCGATGTATCGTTGAATGTTCATTGCTGACTAATAAGTTACGCGTGCCAGTTACAATAGGGTAACACGTTTGCAACCTGAATGGGTCGCACTAATAGCGTGGCCAAGATTTCAGTCGCGTGAGTGCATCCGGACAGTTTTGGCCAAGCAGCGGACTAGATCCGTTTTCGACTAGAGAATTCTCTCCATAGTTCCTAACGCAATCGTCGAGTAGTCAGAATAAAGTTTATACCCGAGGCGTAGACTACGCCAAGATGAGACCGATAGATGAGGCTCGTCGCGCCCGGATCGTGGCCCTGTTGCGTAGGGGGTTCAGCACGAGGCAAATCGCGAAACAGGTTGGCGTTGGGAAAAGTACAGTGCATGATGTTGGGCTCAAGGCGATTTCAGAGACTAGTCCCGAGGACGTTCGTCCTACAATGCCCACTGCTGGTCGTCCACGCGTACTGTCGAGTAGAATTCGTCGTGGGATCGTCAGGGCGATCACTAGCGGCGAGGCGAAAACCTCGAGGCATGCGGCCCAAATCGTCGAATCCCAGCACGGCATCACGGTGCATCCTAGGACGGTGCGTAATGCGCTCAAATCCAGCGGCCTTATCGCAGTTCAGCAGCCTAAGAAGCCGCGACTCACCAAGAAAAATATCCGCGATAGGTTGGCGTTCGCACGGGCCCACGCGGATTGGACCATAGATGATTGGCGACGGGTCATATGGTCGGATGAGACGAGGATTAGTAGGTTCGGCTCTGACGGCCGCGCGTACGCCTGGGTTCGTGAAGGTACGACTCTCCAACACCACCATATCAAGCAAACCGTCAAACACGGGGGCGGCGGCTTGATGATCTGGGGATGTATGACGTTTGAGGGGGCGGGTTTCATGTGCAAAATCGATGGTCGGATGGACGGGCCGCTGTATCTGAGCATTTTGCAAGACGAGCTGAAAAAAACCATCGACTTTTACAAGCTAACCCCCTCGGCTGTGATCTTCCAGCATGATAACGACCCCAAGCATAAGTCCCGTGTGGTGCAGCAGTGGCTTCAGAAGCAGGAGTATGGGGTCCTGGAGTGGCCGGCAGGAAGTCCTGATCTGAACCCGATTGAGCATCTGTGGGCTCATCTTAAAAGGGAGCTGGGAAAGCATGAGACACCTCCCACTGGTATGGTGGACCTGTGGGAGCGTGTACAAGAGGAGTGGGAGAAGATCCCATCAGAGGTGTGCTCCAATTTGATCGACAGCATGCCCAGGAGGGTGAAAGCAGTGATTAGGGCTAAAGGGCGGTGGACCAGGTACTAGTTTAAGGGTTTTTCAAGTTGCTGCTTCCGCCTGGAAATAATTGTCCACATGCACCGTGTTTGGTTATGTTTGCTGTTTACTGTTAACGATAGTAGTTTCATCAAATGTGTAGCATTTTAATGTCTCCCTAGATTAGCCTGCATATAGTGGGTAATGCCTCCAATTAAGGCTTAATGTTCAAATGCCCTTTAACGGTGGAAATTCAAAAAATTGCCAAACATGTGGACAATTCTTTCCGTCAGTGTATCTAGCCTACAATAACACATACATATATGTTTGACAATCAGCAATCTGCTCCTTTCGATCCAGCTAATAAAGGCGTGACTGTGCGTGTCACATGTCCCGGATTTAGCGAAACCTTAAATGACTAATCAAGAATTGAATCAAGAATTGAATGTCTACAAGCAAAGACACAAGAATTGAGCGACCGGGAAATGGGTCGCGTCAGTAAGTACCGGGACGCTTACTGACGGGCAAGCTTCTTCGCCCGAACCACACAGTCCCCACCGGGTTGTGGCCCCGATTGCTGCAATCGACCAGATCCGGACGAATAAGGGGGACGAAACTGCTGATCATCATGTGTTGGTGGAGGGTTAAGTCAACGGGGTGTTTTTGAAGATTTTCGTTGATGGAGGCGCGAGTCACAGACTTATACAGCTGGATAGGGCAAATAAAATGGGTATACCCTTGCCAAGGTGTTTACCTGAAATCGACGCTCGACGGATCGATGGCACGCCGCTGGCAATACGGGAGCGGGTGGAGCACGTAACATTTTGGATGGGGCTGCTGGTGACGACTCTTGACGGGTTGCTGGGACGTGATTGGTTTCGAAGGTGTAACTCGAAGATCGACTGGACGACGGACGGCTGCAGCATCAAGCTCGATGGGATTTCCCGCGAGCTGCCCAAGTGGACGGGGCCTCGCATGCAAAGCATCCAAGTCCATGCAATCACCTTCAAGAAGGCGCTGATGGCTGCAACTGAAGCATACGTCGTTGATCTTCGTGAGCTGGCATCGACGGTCGAGTACAAAGACATTCAGAAGCTATGCAAGGCCGTCCCTCCGGATTTAGTGGAATTGATTCGGAAGTACCCAGGGATTTTTCCGAACTACCTGCCAGCTAGTCTCCCACTGAGCCAACCATAAGACCACAGGATTGAGCTAGAACCAGGCGCCCAACCGACTGTACAGCGCCAATTTAGGCTCAGCCAATCGGAACAGGAAGAATTACAGTAGCTGCTGGACTATTTTCTGGAGAAAGGTTTTATCCAGCCCAGCACATCACCATACACCACCTTGATCCTGTTTATGCCGAAGAAGGATGGAGGATTCAGAATGTGTATGGACTACCGCGCTCAATCGGATCACCATCAAGTCACGTTACCTGATCCCGCGAGCTGACGAACTTCTCGACCAACTTCGCAGAGCCAGGATTTTCTCAAAGATCAACTTGCAAGAGGGTTACCATCAAATTCGCGTCGCTGCCGAAGATTGTCACAAGACCGCATTCCGAACCCGATACGGCAGCTACGAGTACCTGGTGATGCCTTTTGGCCTCACGAACGCGCCCTCGACCTTCCAGATGACCATGAATGGAATTTTTAGGGAACTCGTAGACAAGTGCGTAATCATCTACCTCGAGGATATGTTGATCTACAGCCGCAGCAGGGAGCAACACTTAAAGGTTCTTGATGCAGTCTTCACACTGTTGCACAAGAACTGCCTCATCACAAAAGGGTCCAAGTGCGAATTTCTTCAGGAAGAGTTGGAGTTTCTGGGCCACATTGTCTCTACTGACAAAGTGAAGATCGACCAGAAGAAAATCAAGACCATACAGGAATGGAAGCCGCCGCGAAATGTCAATAAGATGTAGAGTTTTTTTGGATTCGTAAATTACGTCCGACGATTTCTCCCCAATATGGCTGGGTTATCCGCCCCGCTAACTGATCGTCTGAAGGATCACAAATATTTTTGGTGGGGGGAGAAGCAGCAAGCTACATTTGACCAACTGAAGATTGCCCTCACGTCGCCGCTCGTCCTTCGCATCTCCGATCCTGGCCGTCCATACGAAGTCATCACCGACACTGCCATCGGTGCGATTCTTCTACAGGATTTCGGCGAAGGGTTACAGCCGGTCGCCTACGAATCACAGAAGCTGTAGAGTGCGGAGAAATTTATACAGTACACAACAAGGAGATGTTGGTGATCGTCCATGCGTTCAAGACTTGGCGGTGCTACCTGACAGGAGTAGATGTCACAGTGAGAATTGACCACAAATCCCTACAGTACCTAAGAGCCCAACCGAATCTCAACCCACGACTGATCCACTGGCTCAATTTCCTTGAGTCAAATATCCACTACACCATCACCTACAAACGGGGCGCCAACAACATTGCTGATGCTCTAACTCGACCCACTGCCCATACAGCTGCCATACTAGTCGCCTAGACCAGCCCATTCCTAACAGGACTATTTACCCAGGTCTACAAAGTTGACCCATTCTTCCGCTCCGCCATTCACCAACAGCATACTACCACTACTAGACATTACTTCACTAAACGCGACACTTCCCGCATCTGGGTTCCTGGCTACGATTTACTTCGTACCCTCTTAATCCACGAATCCCATGACAGCCCAGCCTCCAGACATTTCAGAGTTGACAAAACCATGAAGACGTTGCAGCGCAATTATTACTGGCCGAACATGGTTGACGACGTGCGCAAGTACGTGTCCCGATGCACCGATTACCAAATCATGAAGTCATCCCATCAACGCGCAGCCGGACTCTTGCAACCGTTGGATACGCCGGAGCGACTCTGGCAACACGTCACGATGGACTACATAACAGGACTGCTGGCCGACCCCAATAGAAATGACGCCATCCTCGTGGTCGTTGACCGACTCACCAAAATGGTGCACTTCATTGCGTACCAACAAACTGCCCAACTGTTCATTGCCAACGTCATTAGACTGCACGGATTGCCGACCGCCATTATTTCTGACCGAGACCCGAATTTTACATCGAATTTCTGGCGCCACCTGTGGAACCAGCTCGGCACCAAACTACAGTTTTCCTTTGCCTATGACGGGTAGATCGAACGAGTCAACCAAACTACCTATATTGACCCACAGACCTGGGGGAAATCCCTTCGCTGCTAGAATTCGCGTATGATATCGCGCCTTCCACAGCAGCCCATCAACACCGAGACCCCCGTGCCCCAAGCCCAGCAATTTTCCGAAGATAGCTGAGGCAATCCGAAAGGCCAACCTAGTCGCAAGCCCACAAGCCGATCGCCACCGACGTGACGTCACCTACAAACTGGGGGACCTCGTACTACTCGACACGCGCAACTTGCGCCTGCAGATTCCAAGCAAACTCTGCCCATGCTTTTGTGGTCCTTTTCAAGTGACCAATATGGTGACATCTGTTACAGCTCATCTTTGAATTCTGGCTGATAAGTGTCACCACCGACTTTCCACGTCAGCCTCCTGCGACCCTACGTCCCGAGTTCATCGGATTTAGCACATCAGCGAATCGTTCTACAGCTGACGCCCCTGCAAGAACCGACAACCAAACCACTGAAGATTCTCTGTCTCCGCGTCACCACTCAGCTGAACTGTCGGATGGTGGATTTTTTTCTCATCCGCTTGCATGATCAGACGTCCGAGGATGACAGCTGGGTACCCCTCGCTGATGTAGAATCACACCCGATTCTAACAGCGCATTATCAACGTCAGAATGTTTCTGATGCCCAGGGCCTCGTTTAGGAGAGGGGGGGGGGGGGGGGGGGGGGTAGTGTAAGGAATTTCCATTCCTTACTGTGTCGTACGCTAGCGCGTACACCCAAACTCCTCGACTCGTCACGTTCGGCCTCATTTGTCGGCCCAACCCTTTCTCGAGTCGCGCCCGGCACTGTCGCCACATTGCCGAACCTACCCACGTTCCGAGGTTATCGCCCTAGCGCGCCAACCCCTAAACTGTACAACCTCATGCCTGCATTGCAATAGCGACCTTGTATTCTCACGTTATTATTCATTGACACTTCCTATATCATAACAAATGGGCTCCCCCTTTCCCTAGCGTCGAATATGAATGCATGTTACTATAGTTGGGGGAGGTACTGTATTTCATGTGTATGAGTTTCAAATTTGATTATGTTAAGGTATACTTGACAAAGTTACCTTTTCTGCATTCCTAATATACTACTTAGACTGTACTAGTAGCGCGATACCTCATATGGAAGGACGCGCGTGATGGCGACAGCAGTTGCGAGTCAACGCGTAAGCATTAGGTTTGCGCATATAGTCACCCGAAGGGTCACGCCACTCCCAGTCACACGAACAGTCACTACTCGTGTCACGCGAATAGTCGCGAGGTAAATTCCAAATAGACGGCTGCTGCTGCTGAAATAGATGGTTGCTGCTGCTGAAATAGACGGGTGCGGAACTGTAGAAGATCCTACTACTGGGCTGCCGGGCGGATAATATTTTTCGGCTGCATCTGCTTTGTCTTGAGGGGTGGCGAAACTCCGTTCGGCACTTGAGTGATCAGGATCCCGCTGCTGGCGTTCCTTGTCATATTCGAAGTCATGAAGAATTTTTTTCTCGTAGAAGATGCAGTCTCGGGCATACAAAACCTTTCGGGTTCCGTAATCTATAATTATCCAGGAGTAGGAATTCTTGGGTACACCAATGTGTATTCCCGATCGAGCCCGTTTGTAAACCTGCCCGCAGTTGCGCTCAGAGATCTGTATAGGACCATGTAGCCCCAAACTCGTAAAACTCGAGTATCAGCGGGGTGTTTTGTCCACATGACGTGTGGCGAGCTGAACTGAGGGAGAGCAGTTGAAGACAGGCAGTTGTGTATTCTGGCAGCTTGCGCCATCGCGAACGGCCAAAAGTCTGCTGTCAAGCTGGACTATTGCAGCAGCACGTGCATCTTCTCTTGCAGCGTTCTGTTAGACTTCTCAGCTACTCCATTCTGCTGATGGGCGTAAGGCATAGTCTTGCGCCTAAGAATCCCTTTCCACACCAAGAATTCATCGAAATTCTTGCTAGTGTACTCGCCCGCGTTGTCTGTCGGGTTCTCTTTCAGCTTGATGCCGCTCTGCCGTTCCGCGATTTTCAGCCATTGCTTGAAGGCATCGAGAGCTTCAAACTTGTGAGGGATATTCTTGTGCCAGACATATCGAGTAGCACCGTCAATGAAGGTACTTATATAGCGATAGTCATTGCCACTGATATCCTCTGCTTCCTGCGGCATGAAGAGCATGTCGCTGAAAATGACGTTCACGGGTGAGTACTTAGTAGCACTCGGGAAGTGCGACGGGAATGGAGCGTAACTCAGGTGAGCGTTGGGGCAGATGGTGTGCAGGGTTGTTGGCCACTGCTAGGTCGAAGTTCTTGGCCATTGGTTAGAAGGAGTGCGTCCTTGTCGAAAACCGAGGCTTTAATCGAGTTGTTAGGAGCTTCTTGTGAGGGATGACCTAACCGCTTGTGCCATGTTTCTGTTGTAGTCCTGTGTCCTTTTGAACGCAGGTACAAATCGGAGTGAAGGAAGAAGGTTGGCGAAAGATGAATCGTTGGCGCAAGGTTAACGCAGCTGCTGGTGCCGAAAGGCTGGATGAAGTCGGCTTCTTCTGCATTTTCAGCCCAAGGTATGCCAAGATGTCGGCGACGTGCCCAAGAATCAAGTACAATTAACTCTTTTCTTGCCCCATGTGCGTTCAACCTCCATTGGTTCTTCGATTGTGGCAGATGTCAGTTCTTGATTTTCGTAACCCCTGTTTCCATCTCTAGATGCCCATGTACTTTGAACTGTTTCTCCTGCTGCTGCTGCTGATGCCGCTTCTGTTTTCTCTGGTGCATATTCTTTAATGGAGTTGGTGCGAGAAGGCTGAGGCGTGACGCAGAAGACATTTAGACCACGATGATCTTGGCGTTGGTAATCGGTATCCAAATGATGATGCCAAGGAGCTAGTGAGACGTTCTTCTCACTGTCGCCAGATGCCTTCACGGGTGAGAAATGTACAACTGAAACGCCGTCTTTGATCTCTGCGATGCCGACTAAATTACTTTTGTATTCCTTCTTGTTTCCCAGATACAACTCCGTGAGCATTGTATTGGCGGTGTTGACAAAGCAAATGCCACTTTCCATCAGCTGCGCTTGTGATAGTAGGTTGAAGCCGAGCCCCGTGGCGACAAGAACCTTGTTGAGGTGAAGTGAAACTTCTGTTTCGTCAGACTCTAGTATCACATCTCCAATTTTGGTCGCTCAATAAATTGATTGTTGGCTATGGTAATGTTGTACTTCTCTCCTTTTGGCAGGTCTCGCCAGTTGAGAAGATAGCGACTTGAGGACGCCATGTGGTGACCGCAGCAGATGTCAAGAAACCAAGTACTATCATGCTCGAGATACGCACACTTGGCAATGTGGGCATGCGGATGCATGTTCAATCGTCAAGGAAGGCCATTAGGCTGCTCACGTCTGCACGGCCAGCTAGCAGGGGTACCGGAGAATTTATGGATTTGGGTAACAGCTGGGTGGAGATCGACGGCGGATGATGTGTGTTGACCCCGATCAACAGCCAAAACATCATGCCGAGGCGGTGAACTCCGGTGTTCCCTAATATAAAGGGTGTCGTTGATGCGTACAGCTAGTGCAGAAACCACGGGGGCGCTGCTAAAAGACGTCGCGAAGCCTAGTGTTTTATGGGTAGCTGTGAAGCGGAGTTGTGATATTTGCAAAGTACCGTATGGTTCAGGCATTTTTGCCGGAGTGGGTCACGGACTTACAGCTGGAGTTGTGACCGCTATCTTTAGGGGTACGAGCGACGTCGACCGATATTCTCGAATATTTTGGGTGCATGGAGGAGGAGAAGCGCAGCAGCAGTTTTGGCTCGTCCTGATTTTTTCTGAATGTACGGACATTCGACCCCGGGTTTCGTTCGAGTTTTTTCAATGGAGCGGGATTTGTATCGGTTACTCTCCATCGTCATCATCGACAACCTCTCGCCATCACCCGCTAGCGCCTCCATCGTCAATGCACGTGATTCGCCCAACTTTGTGAACAAGACCCTGACTCTCCAGCCGAATTGAAAACAGCAGTATCGGATTTACATAAAATTTGGCAGCAGTACTGTTGGAGCTGTGTTGGGGCCAGCTCGCAAGCAGTGTTTGACTTTTGAAGAGTTTTTGAGTTTGTGGGAAAGTCTTCTGGAGCAGTAATTGCGGAATTTCTAGCACTTCGAAGCGGTTTACCTTGAAGACAATTTACCTAATACAAATTTTGGAGTCATCATGATTCACATTTTCGTGGCTGGGATTTATTTCAATGGCATCTTCGAAGTAGAGTGATGGGGCTTTTCGTAGCAGTGTGGGATTATTTCGACTACCTTGGAGCATTGGGATTCCTGGAGTTTTACCTGGGTGGTTGGGAGCTGTTTCTTCTTGGAGGGGGAAGAAGTGCAGCTGTGCTGCAATTTTCCGTCAGACCTTGCGGCGTGTTCCATCATCCGTCTTCAAGCATCATTCGTCACCGTTACGCTTCCGCACCAAATTTCGTCACTTCGTTGATGGAGTTCGCTGACTTTTGTGGGAAACGGACGCGTGCTCTCGCATGTGACTCGAACGACCTCGCGTTTGATGAACGGGTTCTTCATTTCATCGACCATTACGTTATTCGCCAGTCATCATTTCAAGATATTCACTTGCCACACACCATCATCAATCAATATCGTTACTGTTTATTGTCCAGGAGGAGTTTTTGCCAGTACCCCTTCGGTCGGCTGAAGAAGTCGATAATCTTCAACGACTCATATCGATTACGATCGCTGCGATATGTCTCAGCCGTTGGACAGAGTTTTACCTCATGAAGTCTCATCATCATTGCGCCCAACTAGGTTGAATGATCAGGATCTACCGCGATTGTTTCGGTGCTTTCTGGCCATCAATTTCAGTTCGACCGCAAGACCTCGTCAGGCCGGCGTAATCATTACGCTCGTCTCAGGGCTGAAAGCTTACATTCATACTGAGGATAACTTGTAATGACTGTTCGGCCTCGATAAAGGGAGGGCCTTCCTTTAGAAGGTGGGAGAGTGTAAGGAATTACGATTCCTTACTGGGGCTCACCACAGCGACTAGACGCGAACAGTTCGCGTCCGCAGGCTCGGCCCTCAAGTCACGCGCCAAACCGGCCCCCGTCGACCTTTTCGGCCCCAACCTGATCCCGAGCCGCCCCGAACCCATTTTGACCTCGTCACCATCGGGACTATCGAGCCCTTGACTAGTCCAACCCTCGGCATTCAACCCTGGTCAACTCACCCTATATATTGCCTAGGCCTCATTATTATGTACAATTCTGTAATCACGTTCCCCTATAGTATTATGCGCTATACTCTGAGTTATAATTCATAACAATAAATATGTCTGTATTACTCTCTCTTTTTATCCTTGTCATTTCGGACATTTCCAATAAAGTTGTAAAGTCTTCCGCTGACTTTTTACTCTTTTTCCACCGAATCTAGATCATGGCCACCCTAAACACGTGGTCCACTTCAACACATTACACAGATCATTTGAATAAAAAAACCAATTATGGAATACGAACACCTTTTGCATGCCCTTAGGGGATCTACATTGAGAATTCCCTTTAGATTCAGAAATATTAAACCATAGCAGCATTTACGCTACATTTTTCGGAAAATACTACGAGATCCGTGTGAATTTTGGATCATGTTTATAATCAGGCCCTCAGATTGGTTTTAAGTCATCCTGATTGCAAAGGACTACCCCTGGCTGTTTCCCTGGATTTTTAGAGGTCCCCGAATTTTTTTGCTTAGGTGTCAGGATTGTGTGGGACAAAAATGCTGAATGGACAGAGATAGATAGAGTTTTTTCCCTGATTGGCAAAATGAAGAGGAAATTGAAAAGCAAACTTAACTTGAAATGATCAAGATCGACTACATTGTCACTACCTACACTGCCCTCTGCCTCTTCTGCTTCTCCCTTCCCCTTCTTCGAGTCGTCTTGCTTGGCCTGAGGGGTGTTGTTGAAGGGCTTACGCTTCTTGTAAGCACGCCAGGTCTCCACCACTGCATCATAGTCCGGGTCGTAGTCTAACAATGACATGCACATGAGGTCACTAAGCCTATTGTCTTTAAGGCTACCACGCAGCCAACTCTTAATCACATTCTGCCTGGAGAATCCGCGCTCACACTCCACAGTACTGAGAGGAAGCACTGTCATTGCCATCCACAACTTCATCAGGTTCGGGTAAGAATCGTGCCAGTCATGTGTCTTCAGCATGGCTGTGAGCCCAGCATGAAAGCCTCGGTCGGCCTGGGGAAGAGCAGCAATGACGGGGCGGAAATGAGGCAGCTCCCTCATGGCTGCACGCTTGTCAATGCCAGGAAGAATCTCCTCTGCCTCATCTGCACGGTAAAGTGTAACGAGGGAGAAGAACCAGTCAAGGCACTGGGCCTTGTGTGCAACTCTCTCCCAGTTAGGGGGCCAGAGGTTGACAGAGAAGAGGCGGCAGCCAGGGAGCTTTCCCAGATCACCCATCCTCTCCTTCAAGTTTGACACCATGCTTGTCGCCATGGCCGCGCAGAGGTCCTAGCACGCTTCGTGACCGCCCTCCCCTAGATAACCGGGCAAGCGATCTTGATGCAGCACGAAGGTGAAGGAAGCCGGACGACCGTCGGAGTCGATGCCCTCAGCGGTGACCTCGCGAGAACCGCCCGGGCCGTGACGGATGAGGAAGATTGTGAGACGGTCTTTGGGTCCCCGGCCGAAGTCTTAGTCGTCCCCGTATCATCTCTGCAGCAGGGTTAGTGTGCGGGCGATCTGCGCGTGGACGGCCGAGTACTCCAGCTCAGGCTAGGGCGGGGAAGAGGGGGAGGAGGGGAGGAAGGGCGGGGAAGGTGTATTTACATAACCTGGGTGATTTAGTAATGACTCGATGTCACGGTAACGAAAACCTCACCTGCCGCTCTTGGAAGGACTTGTTGAGAATGTTTAGCTACTCCAGTATGCCAGCAAGGAACATGACAAGGAACCAGAAGCGGTAGCTTGTCACTATACTAAAGAGACGGGTGTCCATAGACTCCGAGAGGATGACGACGATGGCGGGTAGAACCTTGACTAGCCTAATGACAGCCTCACCGCGGGAGAGCCATCGGATGTTATGCATGCCTTGGAGTTCGAGGTTCGTCAAGGTGAAGATATCCTGTAGGTCCAAGAAGCGCTGGTGCCATGGGCCGGAGCGTCCGAAGTACTTAGCGAGCTCCTTGATGACATCATCAATCATCTTGAACGCTGTCAAGGAATCCGTCGCTGCTTTAGTTGCAAGTGCCTCTCTGGAGGGTGGGATAAAACTGACAAATTAGGGTACATGTTGGGCCTTGGGAGTGGGATAATAAACATTGCACATGCGGAAACCACCAGTGAACTTAGCCCGAGGTACAATAGTGGTAAACAACAAGGCTCATCTATGCACAATATAGTGACACGACACCAAGTGCGGAATGTGCATCCGCAGCCGCGTCACAAGCCCAGCCTTCGACCCCATCATCTCGGCAGTGCCATCGGTGCTTATGCCCACGACCCGCCGGAGGTCGATACCGATGGCGTTGAGGTGAGACAGGAGTAGAGCAAGCAGAGAAACAGTGTCGGCCTTGTCGACGCTCAGCAGGGCCAGGTATTTGCAGACGAGACAGTTCTCGTGGATGAAGTGCACAAACACGATGAGGTGCTTGCCGCGGCAGCAGTCTGTGCTCTCATCGATGCTCAAGCCGATGAACGGGCTCCTCAGAAGGTGGTCCAACTGTGTTGTCTGCAGCCAAGTTGCCATGGACTATGTGAACTCCCCGTACCCATAACTGCAGCAGCAAAGGGCAAACGCGTAATTAGTACGCTGAAGTATAAACCTTTGTCACACATGATACAGTAGATGCATGCAAAACAAAATTAAAGAAAACAAAAGAATACCTATTGTTATTTCGTGCCATAGGTCTGCTCGGGGAAGTGCTCGTGCCGATGTTTGTTGAGGTAGCGCACGAGCCTAATCCAGTTTTCCATCGGCTCGTTGCCTTTGCAGCAGAAGTAGAGCCCGTCAAGCAGCGCAGTCACACGTTCCTTCTCCTAGTCTGCGGCTTGGGGAAGCTGGTTGATCCGCATCTGGTTGGTTGCGTCCTGCAGCAGCGCCTGTTGCTTCGTCACGACTAGGCGATGCTTGGCCGACCTCGCGGGCCTGTTGAATACCTGCGACTGCGCGTCTGTCGGCCTTGTGTCGCATTTGCCAGTTTTCCCTCTGAGTCCTACATGCTCAAGGCGCAGACTGCATTTAAACGCAGGGAATCCAGCATCAGTCTTAACAATCATAAGCCAGGGAAACCGCTCGGACCACCGCGTATTAAACTTGCTGAGGGCTTCGTCTTAGACATCCTCAGGCGATCGAGATTTGTCGGGTGCAGCAGCAGGGTCATCGCCATCACTGGCATCGTCGTCGTCTTCGCACATGGCTGGGGGGGGGGGCGTCGTCGGCTGACCGCCTGGGAAATTCCACGGGGTGGTTTGCCGGTATTGACCGCCAGGTTTCACTGGAGTGGCGGAACCTGGACTACAGGTAAAGTCATTAGCCACTGATGGCCCCGGACTAGGCGCAGAAGTCAGCTCGACAACAGCTTGAGAAGTTGAGGCGACCGACTGCGAGGCGCATAAGGGGTTTGGTTTCGTCGGAGGGTTACGAGGAGCCTTTGGGAAACTACCTAGCGTCGAAAGGAGCATGTCAACCCCAGTGCGGGCTTCGGCACGGTGTCGTCGCCATCATCATCGCCATCGTCGTCCAATCTCACGTCACCTGACTCAGGCATGAGGACGGGGCTCACTAGGGTTGTCAACGAGCAGAGACACGTGACAGAGGGGTTGTAAAACAATGACACTGTAGGGGGAAGGTCACGCTGGGAGAGGCTGAAGCAGTGGCTGTTTCTACCGTGGGAAGAAACATATGAAGAAGACGCAGAGGGGAAAGGAAACGATGGCGAGGCGCGAACAGTTTGCCAGCCACGCACAGTTGGCTTCCTGGATTCCTGAATCCGGACCGAAACTAGCGCGGCGCATGCGCGTCGGCGTCGAACCAGGGTGTGGTCGTGGAAGCTGGGTCATCACCGCTGGCGCATACGTTTCCGTCAGTGATTAGCTATGCAGGCAGCATTTACATGGGCAAACAATCCGCGCGTGCAGCCAAACTGTGTGCTGGCCGACCCTCAAACCAAACTTTGAGAAGGACCAATCCCATGAGGCAGTGTGGCAACATGTGAGTTACCAAACGATACCTACAACCAGGAACCTAGCAGTCAAGCCAGATTTATGGGGGAATATGCGCATATCGCTGTAATTTTGGAGGGGGACCCGCAAATCATGCCTTTGAAAAAATCAGAACCCATGCTCGATACAAGTCTGAAATTTCAGGATCCCTTACAAAAAAAAAAAACTGAGCTGACAAATATCCATTACAAAAAAACCCTGAAATTTCAGGAAATGCCTAAAACGAAACCCTATAAAATCAGTTCTGGTACCCATAAACACCCTGTTTTTTTCCTGAATCAGGAAAATAAATCCTGGCTTATGGGGGGTTGTTTATAATTGATAATGTGCAGTATAACTATATGCTGTATTTGAATGTTTCTGTACGGTGTACTTGCATATTCTCCTTCGCTTTCCGACATCGTCGATATCGGAGGTTCGTCGGCGCGATGCCGTAGCCTGCAAATATGTCTGCGGCCCAGAGCTTTCGTTGGGTCCAGCGGCGCGTGGGAGTTTCGTCAGCGCAAAAACCGTCGCCAATAATTTCTCGCCATAACTTCTAGCAGCAGACGAGATTTGCGAAACTCGTAAAAGAGGCGACCGAAGAGGGCGGCGGCGCTGAGTGCTGCTGAAGATCCAAGGCGGCAGGAAGAAAGGGAGCTGTGAAAAAGGCAGGGGCACGGCGGAGTGGGGGAAGAGGCAAGAGGGAAGCATAGGATATGGTGTGTACAATAGGATGCAGCGAGCAAAGCGGAAAAGAGGTAAGGAGAAGTCGTCCCTGGGCCTGGCAGATGCCAGTACCCTGAGCTAAGCAGCTGCGGTGAGTCATGGTAGCAGGAGCAGGCAGGTGCGACGAACGCGTTCCAAAGCAGGGAGGGGAGCGCCTGGTCTTAAGGGTACAGCGAGCGACTCTCGAATTAGGGCTAGTGGTGAACCAAACTCGAAAATCCCGGGGCTGCTCTACTCTACGCTGCAAGAGAGGCAGCGCAGGCCTCTGCGTAACGAAGCGCGACGTGCACACGGCTGAAATGGCGTGTGGATATCGTGAGTCGTTACGTGACACCAGGTATTACCAGTGGCACACGGGAGCGATGAGCATCGTGTAATCAGGAATAGTCAAGAGTAATCAGAATATCTGGGCATTAAATTGAGCGACGCCGTGATCCGTGAATTCAGGAAGAGATGGCCAAGGAGCCGTTTTAGGACGAATTAGTTGGATAGGCAGACGACGACAAGCGACCTCACGGTGTGGTCTAGAAATTACTAGTCTGAGTCGTCCCACTCCAAGTTCAAACCAATTCTAAACCGTTTAGAGAGCAGGTTTTTCCTAAAAATCGTGGTTTTCGGCATCGCTAGAAGCAGTTTCTAGAGTTGGCACTGAAGCAGACGCTGTTGACGTAAGCACTCTCACGCGAGTCGCGACGAGGCGGCGCGCGGCAAAATTTTAGGCACCTCAAATAGCGCGCGGCGGCGGGTTTAGCCCTCGAGTTGCCGTTGTCCATTCGCATCGCGATCGCAACAGGCGCAACACGCGTGCAATTGGCGTTGACGCTCAGTGGACGCATTGGTGCCTGTTTAGTAGTGTCGACGCCAGTCTTAGACTTCAACGTTCTTAAGAACAGAAGTCCCGGCTTTGTATAGGCACAGCTTCCATCACAAGAATAAGCGCAGTCGAAGCAGTCGCAACAGTCGCAGCCAAAGTCGCATCCACAGCTGTGCGACGACTCCCTTTCCCGTACGACGTCGCATCTCGTGTGTGCGATCTCTGCGATCTCAACCAACAAATGGACAGCAGCGGGCGGTATAAGAAGGGGCAGGGGGGCGGTGGGAATCGCGGCGGGAACCAGCAAGGGGGTGGCGGTGGGCTGCCGCTTCTGGGACTCGTCGGCGCCGTTGGATCCGGCATGGCGGTACGTGAGCCGTTGATAATTCCGAAACAGCCCTTTCGATTCGTCTATGCACCTCTACCCCCGTCAATATCCGTTGAGGATGCTTCCTTGTGAGCTCGGGGATTCAGAAATGCCAGATTATAAGGTAAAAGGTACACTTCCAGATGGAAATTCTCGAGGTTTGGGTTTTAGAGTGGATGAGATGAGTTGTGAGCGGTGGGAGGAGGGTCCAGAGTCCAAACCAGAAGCAGAGCTCGTTCTGAGAGGAATCGCTCCAGACTTTGAGGAGCGATGCTCTGAACTGCGCTGTGCTGTTGCGTGTGGTACGCCGTCGTGTGGTGCGGTGCGATGTGGTATGGCATGGTGGGGAGGAGGAGGGCATGTGTGCAGCGAAACGTGATGCCGTGACGCCCTGATGCCTTGAGACCTTTATGCCATAATGCCATAATGCCATGTCTCCATTGTCCGTGCCATCCCTTGGCCTGCTGCCCTGCCCACATGGCTGCGCTTACGCCTACTGCATCCTCATGCTCGTGGCTGCTCCTTTCTCCCTCTCACTTCGTTCCCCCCACCCCCACTTTCCCCCTCACCCCCCCCCCCCCCTTCCCCTTCCGCCCCCCTCCGCCCCTCCCTCTCGCTGCCCACCAGGCGCTGTTCCTGCAGCTGAGAGGCGCGGAGCGGAAGAGGGGGCAGGTGGAGGAGACGGTTCTGCTGCTGCAGCAGCAGATGACTCAGCAGAGACTCTTGCTGGTGAGCCGTGTGGGGTGAGCCTAGTGGTGTTGTGGTGCGCTGACACTAGCGATTCGAGTCGAGGCACAATAGTTTTGACATTTGGCGGAAGTTGTTAGAATATGAGCGAGCAAGAGCCCCGCGCGGTAAGGCTGGTGCAACAGACTCGTTGTTAGTTGGGGCTGTGAGGCTGGGGCTCTCAGTTCAGGCTCGAACTGGTGAGGCTCGTGCTTTTGGAAATTGTCGTTACCACGCAATCAATCTCACACTACACTGGTTTCTGAGGCACCTGGTCTTCGCCTCGTCCGTTTTCTCCTTATCGGTCTTCGCTTTGTCGGTCCACAGGAGCAAGAGCAGCAAGCCAAGAACAGGCTGCTCCAGCAGCAGCAGCAGCTGCAGGAACAGCAGCAGCAGCAGCAGAGAGCACGGCATCATCACAGGCACCGGAGGCGGCGGCATGACGACGACGAGGACACAGAGTCGTCCAACGCGAGCGCGGATGATACTGACGAGGACGAGGACGACACGGAGGACGACGAGGACGATGAGGAGGATGAGGATGAGGATGAGGAGGGGGGAGGGCGCTTGTCCCGAGCGGCGCTGAGTGCCGAGGTGAAGGCGCTCAAGGAGCAGGTGGCTGGGCTGGCTGGGTTGGGTGGGGTGGCTGGATTCCAGGCGCTGGTGGGGGAGGTGCGGACGTTGCGGGAGAAGGTGGAGGCGGACGGGGATAGGGCAGTGAAAGCGCAGCAGCTGCTGCAGCGGCAGGAGCAGCAGCGGGCGGAGGGGGAGCAGCTGAGAGAGGAGCAGAGCGTGCAGCTGCAGCAGCAGGGGGAGGAGTTGCGGGTGCTGCGGGAGGCGGTGGGCGAGGTGCAGAGGGACGTGCGCGGGGTGAGGGAGCAGGGCGAGCAGCGCAACTCGTCCCTCATGCTGCTGCTCGAGGCGGAGGAGGTGCGCACGGCTCTCTTCTCCTCTCGCTCCTCGCTTCGACCGCATGGTCCTTCTTGAACTCTGCTCTTCCCCCGCCCCTACCCCCCCTTCCCCTCCCGACCCCTCCCGACCCCTCCCCCCCTTCCCCGTTCTGGTCCATTGCCTTTGCTCCACGGAGCATCCTCCCCAACCCCTCTTCTTCCCCCTCACCCCCCCACCCCCCCTTCCCCCCTCCCCCCCCCCCCGCGCAGAAATACTCGAAGGCGGCAGCCAAGGCGGCATCGGCTGCAGCGGCACTGGAGGAGGCTCGCTCGCAGATTGCAGACCTGGAAGACAACGTGGCGGCACTGCAGCAGCAGCAGCAGCAGGGCCAGCAATACGTGCAGCAGCATGATCAAATAGGCTTACAGATGCTCACAGAGTCTGTTAAGGTGCGTGCCTGGCCCCAACACCCCCCCGACCCCCCCCCCACCCCCTTCCACACTTCTTCCAGTTTGGCAAACTCCCCCCCTCCCCCACTTCCTCCCCACCAGCCTCCCCCCACAGCTTGTCCTTCCTTTCTCAGATTGCCTTGCAGTGTTTTGTGTGCTGCTGACCTTGATTAACCAGTGCAGTTAAAAATCCTGACTCGGCTGTTCACAACAACAGCACTCTTTCTTCCACCAGTGCAAATATTTTGTGTGGTGTGTGGTTTCACCAGCAGCGGAAATAGGTGCGTAAATCCGCCACGCGGCACGCCCTTCGTTTCTTCCCTGTCTCCTCCCGTGGCTTCATGCTCCACCAGGCCCTGCAGGCGCAGGTGGAGATGCTAGAGGTGGTGCAGGGGGAGGCAGAGCAGTGGCAGTGGCAGCACAACAGCAGGGGTGTCATTCAGCCTCCCCCGCCTTCTTGCCTTAATACTTCCTTACGTTTCATGTCTCCCTATCCCCCCCCCGCCACCAGGCCCTGCAGGCGCAGGTGGAGATGCTGGAGGTGGTGCAGGGGGAGGTGGAGCAGCGGCAGCACGACACCAAGTCATCACCGCCGTCTTGCCTAGTTACTTCCTTCCCTTGCATGTTTCCCTTCCCAAACTCCCCCCCCCTCCCCCCCCTTTCCCCCCGCCACCAGGCCCTGCAGGCGCAGGTGGAGATGCTGGAGGTGGTGCAGGGGGAGGCGGAGCAGCGGCAGCAGCAGCGGATGCAGCAGGTGCAGGGGGACCAGCAGCAGCGCTGGCAGCAGCAGCTGCAGCAGCAGGGGGAGGTGCTGCGCGCGTTCGTCGAGAGGCGGTGCAACGAGACAGTCGTTGCTGCAGGCGAGACTGTTGAGGTGGGTGGGTGCGTCGGTGGGTGGGTGGGTGGGTGGATCATCCTGCTCTTGAGGCGCCTCAAAAGCAGCAGGGGGAGGTGCTGCGCGCGTTTGTGGAGAGGAGATGCAACGAGACGGTGGTCGCTGCGGGCGAGACTGTTGAGGTGGGTGGAACTTTCTGCTCTTCCCCCCCACCAGCATCCTATCCTCCTCTCGCCTCCCCTCTCCTCTCCCTGTCCCCTCCCTTCCCCTCCCCTCCCCTCCCCTCTCCCTCGTGTCTCTTCCCTTCCCTCCCACTTCTCATATTGCCATGCATCCCTTTCTGGTCTTTCTCTTTCACCACCTTCGATTCCCAGGACCATCGTCCTCTACTTCGCTTGCTCTAGTCGCATAATTCCTCACCCCCTAGCAGGAACACTCATTGCAGGCAGCCCTGCTTTTGCAGGGTGTTTTCTTGAATTCTCAAGAACACCCTACAGGAGCACTCATTGCTGGCAGCGCAGCAGCAGCCAACCCGGGTTATTCTCTCACCCCTCCCGTGGCTTCTTCCTCTCCCCCGTTACTTTTGTCCTTTCCTCCCAACAGAGGCACGCCAGCATGGCGCCCCTGCTGGCAGCGCAGCAGGAGATGCGGACAGCAGTGGAGTTGCTAACCAGGCGGATGGAGGGGGTGGAAGAGGGGAGGGCGAGGGAGAAAGAGAGGGAGGGGGAGAGGGAGAATGAGAGGCAGAAGGAGGAGGAGAGGCACCAGCAGCTGGCAGTGCTGGCCGCAGATCTCAAGGTATGGTGGCAGACCTCTCAAGGTATGGTGGCAGACCTCTCAAGGTATGGTGGCAGACCTCTCAAGGTATGGTGGCAGACCTCTCAAGGTATGGTGGCAGACCTCTCAAGGTATGGTGGCAGACCTCTCAAGGTATGGTGGCAAACCTCTCAAGGTATGGGTATGGCTGTCTATTGTTCCTCTCCGGTGCAACGATCCCCTCCTGTGTTCGTGCTCTCTTTTGTTCCCCCTTTTTTCTTCCTCTTCTTCTTCTTCGTCTTCTTCTTCTTCTTCTTCTTCTTCTTCTTCTTCTTCTTCTTCTTCTTCTTCTTCTTCTTCTTCCTTCCTTCCTTCCTTCCTTCCTTCCTTCCTTCCTTCCTTCCTTCCTTCCTTCCTTCCTTCCTTCCTTCCTTCCTTCCTTCCTTCCTTCCTTCCTTCCTTCCTTCCTTCCTTCCTTCCTTCCTTCCTTCCTTCCTTCCTTCCTTCCTTCCTTCCTTCCTTCCTTCCTTCCTTCCTTCCTTTCTTTCTTTCTTTCTTTCTTTCTTCTCGTCGCCCTAGCTACTCATGGACTTCCCCTGGATTCTCCCTGAATTCTTTCCAACTGCACCAACCTCTGTCGGCTCATCTGCTTGTCCGTTTTCTCCCTTTTCCCTCTTGTCACGAACGACCCCTGGCCCGTGAACCCTGAACCCCGCACCCCCCTCCCCCACACCCATCACCAGAGCCTGCAAGTGCAGGTAATTAACAGGATTGTTTGGAGTTGCAGCACCACGAGCCGCTTTTTAAGCGGATGGAACGAAGAAGAGAAGAAGAAGAAAAATATATCCCTTTGACCCCCCCACCTCCCCACACCCATCACCAGAGTTTGCAAGTGCAAGTGGATTGTTTGGAGTTGCAGCATCACGAGCAGCAGCAGCAGCAGCACGTTGACCACTCGCTGCAGCAGCACCTGCAGCACTTGCAGCAGCAGCAGCAGGCGGCGCAGCAGCAGCTGGAGCAGCAGCAGCAGCAGCTGGAGCAGCAGCAGCAGCAGCTGGAGCAGCAGCGGCAGCAGTGGGAGCAGCAGCAGCAGCGGCAGATGGAAGACGTGAGGGGGTTATTGGAGTCGAAGCATGGAGAGGCAATAGCTGCAGTGGCGGCTGCAGTTGAGGTGAGATGAGACGACGTAGGGTTTTGGAGATTCCAGGTATTCTTAAGAAGCGGTAATTTCTGGGTTCAGAGGGTTTTTGAGCGAGTCAGCAAAGGCGCCGAAGCGGTTAAGTCTGAGTCTATCCTACAATCAACCATAGACAGCGCAACAAAGCTTCACTGACCGCAAATGCTCCTCTCTGCACTGCCCCCTCTGCCCCCTTTCCTTCCAAACCGCCTCCCTCTTCCTTCTTCCTCCCCCCCCCCCCGCCCTCCTCCCCTCCTCTCCCTCTCCTCCCCGCCGTACCCGACCCCCGCCCTTCCTGTCCCTCGCCCCGCGTCAGCCCCTGGAGGAGCAGCTGAAGAGCTGCCTGGCGTCGCAGCAGCACATAGCGCTGCTGGCAGCCACGGCTGCAGCGTCCGCAGAGAAGGCAACGGCCGTGGAGCGCGCAGCAGCAACACAGGCGGTGGATGCTGCTGTGGAAACGGCGCAGCTTGCGCAGGCAGAGGCGGAAGCAGCTGCAGGCGCGGTGGGGGATCTGAGGGAGAGGATGAGGGAGGTGGAGCGGTGGAGAGGGGAAGTGGAGGGGTGGAGAGGGGGGATGGAGGGGTGGAAAGGGGAGGTAGAGGGGTGGAGAGGGGAGGCAGAGGTGAGAAGTGTCAAGGAGGAAAGAGGTGACCGGGAGTGGAAGGAGATAGTGGAGGGGTGGAAGAGAGAGGTGGGGGAGAGGGTGGAGGAGGTGGAGGGGAAGGTGCTAGGGATGGAAGGGAAACTGGAGGGGGTTGAAGGGAGGGTGAGGGAGGAATGTGCTGCAGCAGTGGCAGCTGCGGCAGCTGTGGTGGGAGAGGGGAAGAGAAATCCAGGAGACGGGGAGGAGGAAGGAGGGGAGAAGGAGAGGGTGTTAGAGCAGAGGGTTATGGAGCAGGTGGAGGAGATTCGGAGGGAGGTGGGGGATCTAGAGGGCAGTCTGGGGAAGGTTCAGATCAAGCTCGGGCAGGTGGTGGAAAAAGTTCCGGAGATGGGCAGGCTGGAGGGAACCATGGGTCAGCTTGAACAAGAAGTAAAGGAAATCAAAGAGATGGTACAGAATTCCGGAAAGGGAAAGGGAGAGGGAGCAGCAGCAGGAGCAGCAGGAGCAGGAGCAGGGGACGTGTTACCACCAGCCGTTGGTGCTTCAGAGGAGATGCTAAAGAGGCTACGGCAGGTGGAGTTGGACGTGTCTGCTACCAGGGAGACCGCGCAGGAGGTGTCTGTACGCGTTACAGAGCTGGAAGCGAGCTCCATCACCGAAGAGGCGTCCGCTGCCGTGCAGGGCGCAGCGTTGGCGTCCATAGAAGAGCAGCTGGCGTCGTTACAGGAACAGGTCCTCTCGATGCAGGAACAGCTGGGATCGATGGGAGGGATGCAAGAGCAAGTGGGGTTGACGCTGGAACGGTTTGTGGGGGTAGAGGAGCGGGTTGGGGGCTTGGAGGAGCAGGTTCTAGGGGTGGAAGGGAGACTGGTGGTGCTGGAAGCAGAGGAGGAGGAGGGGCGAGAGAAGGGAGAGAGTGGAGAGAGTATGATGATGATGGTGGTGAAAGAGCAGGTGGCAGCTTTGGAGGGGAAGGTGGCTGCTTTGGTGGAGAGAGGAGGTGAGGAAGGAGAGTGTGGGGCGGAGGGGAGGAGGAGAGGAGGAGGAGAAGGGCTAGAAATTTTGGATGAGAGAGTGAGACGGGTGGAGGAGGAGGTGGAGAGGGTCAGAAGCATGGTGGGGGTGGCCGAAGGGGTGGAGGTGAGAGAGCTTAAGGAGCAGTTACTGGGGGTAAAGGTGGAGATACAGAAGGAGATAAAGGAGGAGATAGCGAGGCTTGAGGCAGGAGTCCAGGGAGTGGAGCAGGCTCTGAAACAGGCCGAGCAGGTTCGGCAGGAGGTAAATCTGCTTCGGAGCGACATAGCCTCCGCGCAGGTTCGGGAGGCGCAGGCTCGGGAAGCGCTGGCTGCGGAGCTCCAGGAAGACCTGCAGCTGGCCAGGCAGAAAGGCCTGGAAGAGGCTCGGCAGGTGGCCCGGGAGGAGGTTCGGAAGGAGGGAATACCCAGCAGAAGCGAAGGACTGACATGCACAGAGGAAGGTATTGACGATGCTGGTGCTGGTGGTGGTGCTTCTGCTTCTGCTGCTGCTGCTGCTTCTTCGTCCGCTTCTACGAGTGGATTATGGGAGGTGGTGTCAAGCGTGCAAGTAGAGATGAGCGAGCTGAGAACACGGGGGTTTGCACTGAGGGACAGTGTGGAGGAGATCAAGAGAGACATGCGCAGAGAGGCGAGGACATTCAAGGACGCTCTAACTCATATTGAAACGGACCTCAAGGCGGTTCGGCGGGGTGCGGAAGAGGCTCGGGACGAGGCGGCCCAGCAGGCTCGGGAGAGCACCGAACGGGCTGTGGAGCGGGCTGAAGGCGCGGTGGCGAGTGCAGTGGCGGAGGTGTCTGGTTCGGTGAAGAAATGGGGGGAGGAGATTGGGGAGCAGAGGAAGACACTGGAGGAGGTGGAGGGGAAGGTGCAGGGGTTGCTGGACACGTGTGGGAAGGTGGTTGAGCTGGAGAGTGCGGTTGAGAGGAGTTGTGAGGAAGTTGCGGAATTGAAGGTTGAGAGTGCGAAGCAGGTGGAGAAAGTAGAGAGGCTTGAGAAGAGGGTAGAGGAGGGGTTGGGGAAGCTGGAGGAGGTGGCGACTGGGGCGGCTGCTGCTGCTGCTGAGGCTGGGAAGAAAGCTGCCGAAGGTGAAGCGGCAGCAGCTGCTGCGGTGGAGGCAGTGGGAGCAGACACGGCTGCACGGATCGAGATTCTGGAGGCTGAAATCGGGGCGAAGATCAACGGTGTAGAGAGGGAGATGGGCGCTGTTCGCGAGCAGATGAACGGTGTGGATCGGAAGGTGGAAGGCATGGGGGAGGAGATGGTGCAGCTTCAGTTAAAGGTGGACGGAACAGAGGAGGGAGTGCAGGCTCTGGAGCTCCAGGGGGGTAGTCTAGCTGAGCACATGAGGGTAATCGAGGACGAGCTAAGTGCGGAGAAGCGGAGAGGAGAGGATAAGGCTGCAGAAGAGGCTTTAAGGCGGTGGACGGATGAGGAAAGCACCAGAGAAGTGGCTGCAGATGTGGAGAGCATTAAAGTCCGAGTGGATGAGATGGGGCATGTGCAACAGAGCCTGGTTCTAGCGCACGAGAAGACCGTTCGAGAGATGGTATCAGAGCAGGAACGGCTGGTGAAGAAGCAGGAGGAGATATCGAAAGAGGTGCAGCGGCAAGAAGAGGAGCGGTTAGCCGCCTCCCAGACCATGCTATCTAGGCTACAGGCGGATGTGAGAGCGCTAGTGGGGAAGCTGGAGGGGGTGGTGCGGGAGGAGCAGAGGAAGGTGAGGGGGGAAGTGGTGGCAGGTGTGGGGAAGGTGGAGGGGGAGATGAGGAGGGTGGAGGAGAAGGTGCAGGGCGTGCAAGGGCAGCTGGAGTCGGCGCTAGAGGTAGGGGGAGGGGGGGGGTGGGGAGGAGAGGGATTGAGTGGGGGAGAGGGGGGAACAGGGAGGGGGGCGTGGGGGTAATGGGGGGGAGAGAACGAGTGGGGAGTGGGAGGGAGAAGTAACAGAGGAGAGGGTTTAGATTTGAGGTTTGGTCTGTTTCCTTTTGGTCTGCCACTCTCTGTGTGTTGGCGTGACGTCCTTTGTCTCCCTCCCTCCCCATCCCGCCATCACAGCAATGCCAGCGGCTGCAGGGCACGAGCAGGGACCATAAGGAGGACATTGCGCGGATCGAGGGGGATCTGCACACGCTCTCTCTTTCGCACTCACAGCTCTTGGCCAATCTGCAAGCAAAACAGTCCAAACAGGGTAAGTAGTCTGGCAATGATGGTGATGGTGGTGCTGATGGTGATGATGGTAGATATGGTAAATATTATAATCGTGATAACGTAACCATGGTTGACTAGACACGGTGCATGGCAAGCTCTGGTGAAGTGTGGTACACGCTTGTGTGTCACGCCTGCTGGGTCAAGATCATAAGTTTCAATCAATCAACTCTCTCCACCCATCTCTCCCTTCTCCCCCCCACTCCCCTCCCCCCCCACCCCCCACCCCCCACCCTCCCCTCCACCCATCCCCACTCCCTAGGCCTTGGCTTCATGAGGTGGCACCAGCCGCGGTCGTCCAAGTCAGAGGAGGACCCGTCCCCCTCGGAGAGCCCCACCAACCCCATGATCCGCCGAACCTCCCAGCGCATGCCCTCCGCCTCCGCCTCCCCTGAGCTCCGAGCGTCCTCCATCTCCTCGGATGGGAGCGCCACGCCTGGGGGTAGTGGGACCCTTGGTCTTGGTGTCAAGTCGCCGTCTGGGCCCGATTAGATTCTCACGTGGTGTGTGGAGGGTGGGTTCAGCCCGCCGCCACCACCTCCGCCTCCCCTGAGCTCCGTGCATCCTCTATCTCGTCGGATGGGAGCGCCACGCCTGGGGGTTCTGCTGTTCTCGGTGTCAAGTCGCCGTCTGGATTAGTTTGTTCATTTCAGTGGCTTGTGGAGGGGTTACCCCTCCGCCACTGCCTCCGCCTCCCTTTCCCCTGAGTTCCGAGCGTCCTTCGTTGCGTCAGATGGGAGTGCCATGTTTGCTGGAACCGTTGACCTCTGAGCCAATTCTCCAAATGGGCCGGATCAGATTGTGTGCCCGCCACTATGACCACTTTGACATTTGTGGTGACTGATCTCGTGCAGATGTGTCTGATTATTTGTAGTTGTTGGAAATATCTCAAAGGACTTAAGCGTTTCTGAAGTGTAACACTACACTTGAGGAAGATCACAACGGGTATGCGAGTTGTTGGAAATATCTCAAGGACTTAAGCGTTTCTGAAGTGTAACACTGTACTCGAGGAAGATTACAGGGGAGCACGCGAGTCAACGGAGGTTACACGAGGGGGCGGACAAAGAATGCGAAAGGACTCGAAAGGTCGCAACTGGAGGTTGCGACTGACCGTTACAACATCACGGATGGTAACCGAAGCGGCAATCGAGTCGCTGTGCGACTCGATAAACCGTTCCTATAACTGTATTCTACAACTGCTTTCTTATCTACTATATATTGCTGTATGCTTGTTTCTTTAATCAATCACTTGTTCTCACATACTAGTACAAGGGTTCAACTGCCTCAACTTCCGCTGCACTACTCCAAGTCTCAAGTCTTTACAGCTGGGACTTAGTCTCTGCAAAAGATCCTAAAGGTTTTTTCTCAGCCAACATGGTATGAGAGCTGGTCAGAGACCAAACTCCCAGCAACTACGTCCTATCAACAACCTGCAACTCAACTCAATTCAACGACTTCATTGATTACAAGACATGGACAACAAGGGCAAGAAAGTCTCTACGGGCTCACCCAGCGCCCAAGAAACTCAACACGGCAACTCTGGTCTGCACACCTCAGGACTGCAGACAGAGACCGGGACTGCTCAAGAAACAACGGGAAGAGTACCAGAGATGGTGACCCCGTCTCCCTCTTCAAGTGTGGACCCGAATCTCATGGAGAGATTCTTCAGCTTCATGTCACACTTTGATCAGCAGCAGCAGACAAGGACACCTGCGCACTCAACACAGAGCAATGGAGGGAATATGGGATTAGCGCCGATGAGCCTCGACAACTCATCCTTCGGGCGACACAATCAAGCGCCTACCTTTGCGCCTTATCATTCTTCGCCGGGGACGTTCGAATTCATGCCGCCCCGTGCCCAGCCAACAGCAGCTGCTTCACAACAAACACCGAATGAAATCTTAAGTTTACAGGCGCAGTTCTCACACGTGATCAAACTTCAGACATCCTCACCGTTCAACGGACACGACTTCTTTACCTGGAGCTTCGAGTTTGAGCTGCTGATGGAGGCCGCGCATCTTCTGGGATACTTCAACGGGTCCCTGCCATTCCCAAGCAACGGCACTGGGAAGGAACAAGAGATCTTCACGTATCAGTCGCTGCTGGCGTACACGGTACTCCTGAGAAACCTGTCACCACAAGAGCAGCAGAGCATCAGAACGTATCGGAGTTATGGAAACTCCGCGGAGCTCGCATGGCACCACCTCAAATGCCTTTACCAAGCAAACGACAGCGTGACACAAAGCAGACTCATGCAACAGCTGACAACAATACAGATGAAGACCGGGGAAAAGGCGATGCAGTATATGAGTCGCTGCCAGACCCTCCGCGACCGCCTGCTTCGGTGCGGAGGAACGATCACTGAAGAAAGCTTCGTGACACTTGTCCTCGCCGGGCTCGGGCCAGAATGGAGAACCACACGATCACTTCTTCGAGCCCACGGAAGAATTTCGGAGATGCACCTCTGCGCCGAGCTTCACGCTGAACAACAGGAGATGGATCTGTTCGAGGAAAGACAACCAAGGAAGCAACAGCAGTTAGTCTTCTACACTCAAAGAAGAAATGACAACAACTACAACCGACGCAGCAAGCAAGATCAACGTGACAACCGAGGACTCACCATCGTGCCGCCGTTCTGCCACAACTGTCAGACTTCCGGGCACTCCAAGGTCAACTGCAACCGCCCTCGCGTTTACCGTGCAGCAGACCCACAAGTCGCTTCCACTCAAGCAAGTCCTCCAAGGCGCTCTTCAACATCTGCACAACAAACACCCAACATCATCAACTGCATGGTACACATCGACAACTGCGCACCCGCTTCACCACCCACTTACGCACCAGACGAAGAGGAATTCCCGCCGCCGCGCTCGCAAGGACTTCAGGTCAACCCGACATACGCTGCAGTCGCTAACGCCGAACCCACCGGGCGGAACACCTGGTTCTTGGACAGTTGCTGCGGTCAGCACATGTGCTCCTCCGGACGCTTCGTACAACACGAGCGACGCCTCAACCGTGACGTCGTCATCACCGTCGCCAACAACGAAAACCTGAAAACAAATAGACAAGGCGTGGTTCAGTTACAATCAATGGAGACAAACGTTATTCTTCAGCTCAACAAGGTCCTCATCGTCGACAATCTGGGATACAACCTATTAAGCGTAAGCCAACTAATGGCTAAGGGGATTCACCTGGAGTGCGACTCCTTCTCCAACGAGTTCCGACTTTACCACGGGAAGGGCGGTCTCTTCATCGGTCGTGCCCTCCTGAAGTCCGGTGTCTTCGTGTTGGACTTCGTCCCCGACCGCGGAACTGCCGACAGCGACGGTATCGTATCCTTCGCCGCCTGGACTCATCCGCCAGATCTTGATCCCGACTTCGACAGCGACGGCTTCTGGCACTCCAACACCATACCTGCAGCAGAAAGAACACGAGCATTAGCAGTTATCAGACAAGAAAGACAAGTACCCGCATGTGTCCCAACAAAACCATCACCTGCAGTATCGGCAGCAGGACCCAGCCGAGTACCACCACCAGCGACACGAGGACAGCCAACCGAAGCAGACCAACTTATGCCCGCCACACGAGAAGCTTGTCGAAGTCCCGCCTCGGTCGTCGCGTTCTTCTCCAACGCCGACATCTACCACCGCTCGCCCGGTCACCGCGCTCCCGACGACATCTGGCACCAACGTCTCGGACATCCTGCAAACAGCACGATACTTCAAACAATCCAAGCAGAAGTGTTAGAACGCAACGCCCTTCTGACGACGAGCGGCCAGGAACTCCGACGACCACGCGCACGGTGTTTCACATGCCCCGAAGCAGATCTTCCTCATCAACCTTTCCCAGCCCATCACAATCCAAGCGCACCCACTTACGCTCCGATGGAAAAGGTCTACAGCGATATTCTAAACATGCCTCGAGACGACACCGAAGCCGACTTCAACTACGTCATCACGTTCATCGACGCCGCAACCAGATACGTCTGGCACTTCAATCTCAAAACGCGCGATCAAGCCTTCGAGGCATTCACCACATGGCTTCCAATCGCCGAACGAGAGTCAGGAACCAAACTCAAGAGTTTCCAGTCAGACGGTGCACTGGAATACCAGTCACAACGCTTCAGGACCTATCTCGCGGAAAGGGGAATCCGACGCCTGGTGTCTCTGCCCTATGCTCACCAGCAGCAGGGGGTAGCAGAACGCATGAACCGGACCTTGCAGACGACGATGCGAAAACTGCTTCTGGGGATGAGGCTGCCCAACGCACTGTGGCCAGACGCGATGACACATGCAGTCCACCTGCACAACCTGTTGTCCTCGTCATCGCTCCCCAACAACGCATCACCACACCTGCTGTGGACGGGAAAAAGGGGCAGCACAAAATTACTTCGAGTTTTCGGCTGCATGGTACAATACAGACCCCACACAGCTCGAGCAGGACGCTTCACTCAACGAGCTCGGTGGGGACTACACCTCGGCATCGCCAAACATTTTCACGCGTGGAAGATCCTCGACATACAAGACAAAAATACGGTGGCATCACGTGATGTTATCTTCTACGAGCGACTGACGCTGCAGCATTACCTGGACAACATTGCCAACTCAGACGACCCCACCGACGGCTTCGCGGGCCTTCGCTCCTTCGCTGACCATGCTGCCGAGGCTGACGCAGCAGAAGAAGACGTACCTGGAGCCTCGGAAGCTGCCGGGCCACTCCCATTCTGTTCCATACCTGTTCCACTCGATGAAGATAATCCCCTCGATAGCAACAACCTCGACACCTTTTACCACTTCGCCGACCAAGGTTACGCTACACCGCACCCCGTCGACACGAATATTTCGGAACGCATCGGCCCCAATTTCTTACCTGACCCCGAAGACGGTGACGAAGCAGCTTATTCGGGGAATGACAATTCCCCTCGACACACACCCACGGGACTCCAGATTCTAGGCCTCTGGGTCTCCGTCCAGCATCCGCCGCCGCCTTCTACGCGTGAGCCTTCAACCTTGTCGCAGGCTCTGGGGGGGGAACATAAGGCAAAATGGAAAGAAGCGATGGAAAAGGAGTTAAAAGCTCTGCAAGACCGAGAAACATGGAAACTGGTACCTGCAACGAGCATCAACGGGAAGAACGTTCTCTCGGGGAAATGGGTGTACCGCATCAAGACCAACTCAGACGGCTCCATCGAACGATTCAAAGCTCGATGGGTCGTACGAGGCTTCGATCAACGATACGGAACCGACTACACAGAAACCTTCGCCCCAGTCTCCCGTCACACCTCATTACGCATCCTACTCGCCGTCGCGGCCACAAAAACACTACCACTACGCCAAATCGATGTCGCGAATGCGTTCCTATACGCACCTGTGGACGCTGAGATCTTCGTCGAACAACCCCACGGATTCATCGACGACCCCACGAAAATATGCCGACTGACAAAATCCCTATACGGGATCAAGCAAGCCCCGCGGCTCTGGCAGCAGCATCTTCACAGCCGTCTCGTAAAAATCGGCTTCCTACAGCTGCCGCATGACCAAGGGATGTACCGACTGCAGAAGGGAAGAGAGTATGTTCTGCTCATCGTCTACGTCGACGACCTGCTCTACATCGGCTCAACTACCGACATCGCCACCTGGTTCGAAGGGGAGCTGAAAGAAGATTTAACTCTCACGGTGTCCGACGAAGTTACGCAGTACCTAGGACTGAACGTCGTCGAACACGACACGGCGTTCTACCTACACGCTGGAAAGTACTCAAGCACCGTCGCGAAGAAATTCGCTCTAACACCGACTGCGGTCCCAACTCCCTACCGCTACGGGAACAACGGCAGCGCCTCTACAAAACTCCCCGCGAAACAAATCCAGGAGTATCAACAGAAGCTCGGCTGCCTACTATTCGCAGCAGTAACCTGCCGACCCGACCTATCCTATAGTGCGAGTCAGCTGGCGACACATCTGAAGCATCCGCAACAGGAAGATCTCGAAGAACTCAATCGAGCGCTACTCTACTTCGTCTCCACGCCGACGATCGGGC